TGCGCTGCCGGATCGCCTCGGAACCGATGCTTTCTTAACACTTGATTTCTAAAGATAGTTTTAAAAACATATAGATTCCATATTTTTACCCCTTTGAAATAATGACTTTTTTCACACAGCTTTCTTACATGACCTTTTACTGAGGGACGCCTTTTGAATCATGGTCTTATTTTATGCTGTTATAAAGAAAGTTTTTACTACTATATTGAAACAAACAATTTTTTACACAGCTTTTTTACATGACCTTTTTACCAGAGGGACGTCTTTGAACCATGGTCTTATTTTAAGCTGTTATAAAGATAGTTTTTACCCAAGGTTATATGTAGTATAGTACATGGGGGGATATAGCGCACTTTTAGTGCGCTAGAACCCCCATGTACTATACTACTCTCTTCGGGATCGTCATCAGTAGCTTGGAAGATTGCATTTACTCGTTCGAATTCAGTGACTAGAGGCGACGCGAAATGAAAATATAGATAGACAATTTGATCGTTGAGCATGTCCAAAAGGGTACGTGCTTTGTAACGGGCATTCTGTGTACTTGCTGGTTTCGCTACAGCAAAATAAACTTGGAGCTCGTGCCAATTAGCCAAAAGACGGAAGATCAACTTTCCTCTCACCAAACAACGTGTTGCTGAATACTTCTCAAATGGTGGTAATTTGTCGTCATCGGGACTCATTGTTTCATAAAGTAACTTGTATGCTTCGCGTCGTATAGTGCTTTTGGAAAACCACTTTGGAATTTCGGCTAGAAGGAATCCAAGGCTTGATGAAGGCTTTTCAAAAGCATGTTGGACGCATAACGACAACGAATGGCAGATACACGTTAATTTGATGCAATTCGGGGCAACAGCTTCAAGCCTTGTCCACACTGAGTCATGTTTGCCAACCATAACAGAAGTACCATCACTGGCATACCCAATGCAGTCAACCAATTCAAGGTCAATTTCACGAAGGCAATTTCGGATGGCATAAAAAAGGTCATCTGCACAAGCACGAGCAACATTGACCAGGTCCACAAAGGCTGTGACGATATTCTTCTCCACACTGCTGTAATACCGAATGATGACACAGAGCTGTTTGGCTGTAGAAACATCGGTAGTCTCATCGACGATTAAAGAGAACTTCTTTCCTTTCACATCAGCAATTAATTCTTCTTTCAGCGCAGGACTGACTACACTGGTAAGAATTTTTGTGCATTTCGTACGATGTATCTTTATGTTTTCGAGTCTACTTCCCGTTGCATTTCGAGCTATAACCTCCCCAAGATGATCCATTGTTAGAATAGAAAAATGACCGCCATTGTCACATCTAGCTCAATTTCTGTACGTTTTACATCGTCGGCGATCGTTGCGTTTCGCACAACTTGAATTGGCCCTACTGACGTTGAAGCTTTCACCCGTTGCACGTGCTTATCAGTCTTTTCGTGCTTTGTCAAATTTGATAGTTTGGGCTTTGAGTATGGCAAAGCTTACAGTACCCATCTTCACTTCCATCTGATGCTTTCGAAAGCCAGATAAATTTGCTCTCCTACGTTTTGGTATATTTTCTTCCAGATTCATATGATGCTTTCCATTTGGCTGTCATGTGCAAAATATAATGATGCTATGAGCCTATGACCGGAGAAAAGAGCCTGGGAAGTAGTGACAGAATAGAACCATTTCGTTTATCTTTTGTGAAAGAACTGTGAAACTTAGTAGTAATGACATTAAAAATCTGTGGGAAGCAAAAAGGAGCCAAAAAGAAGCCAAATGGCCAAATTTATTTTTTGAGGCCAAGCAAGGAAAAAAGAAGCCAAATTTGAGTTATTTGGCCTCCAAAAGGCCAATCTGGCAACCCTGGAAGAGAATTCAGTTTTCGAGCGCGCGACTCAATCACACAAGCAAAAAGTCTGGGGACGAATAGGCGGGAAAAGAGGGAAGTGTTTGGCATCAGTCAGCCAGTTAATATAATTCCAGACATGTTAAAATCTATTGATCTGTTTACTAAGGAGCCGATTACATGGACCGAGTTGTCCCGGCTAGCCGAAGTGAGACAATTATACCGATACCGTGGCCTCTGTAATAACTACTATTAAAAACAGCAATGTGATTACATGGAAACAAGTCAACTCGCTTTGCTGGGATATCGGCTGTTGAAAGCCGGGACAACTCGGTTATCCGGGATGAAAATTGTCTCGTTCGGTCATGTAATCACTTTTTCCAGAGTTGACCCGGGTAAGCCAGAGCCCTCTATTAGTAAGAGTTGGGACATCTATTGTTATCCGTTTAGCTTACGTTGATTGGGCAATATTGATCACCTGATCAATTTCCGCCATTTTGGTTCCTAGTTTTGAAATTTGAGCAAGTGTTTTTATAGCAATTGCTGCTAGTAATACAGTATTTTGAGATAATATTGCGTTTTTTTATGGATAAGTTTGTAATAACTGATTGTTGACGGTTACTAAATGTCATTACATATCGCAAGAATCGAGGATTACGAAAAAAATGAAAGAAATGCCTTTACGTCGAACTTACGAAATTTGATTGCGTATGGTGATTGTTGTGCTGAACTGCTTGTGATATAAAGTTCAATTAACTGACTCAAGTAGAGAAACATTTTTGGGCCAAATAACATTGCAAAGTTCGTGCTGATGCAGTTTCAATAGTTATCTTACTCCAAAGCTTCTTTTTTAATCGAAGATGATTTCTCATTATGGTCTGAAATTGGTCAATCTACAAACCTCTCAATTCTCAGCCACTTCCACACTAAAACAAACAACTACACCAAATCACAGAAACTCTTATGATTTTCCATGTTGTATTTTGTATTTTTAGTTCATCATTTAAAAATGAAATAATTATAATTAGGATATTCACTGAAACAGCTGAGTACAATATATTTTTGGTAATGAATTGTACAAATGTACCCTACTTCTGTAGCTCAAAGTAGAACATTACTTCTCTTCTAGACTTGTTGATGATATTTTAATTGTAGGTTTTGGTTTATAAGATCACAGAGGCATATCTCCATAATTTCAGCTATTTGGGCTTTTTAATGTATATTACAACTGTTGCTGCCTTTCTCATATATATTAAAATATTGCCGGCTTTCTGATATATATTTAGGTGCTGCTAGCTTTTTGATATATATATTTCACTGGCAATACAAGGCATAGAATTTGAACAAACGGGGCTGAGCTCCCTCCAACACACCCCTGTTTGATCATTAAACACATATAGAAGTTTTGTCATTCCTCAACCAATAAATTTAACTCTTTGCTAAATTAAAGATTGGATCAGACTCATATGCTGTATAAAAGACTACAAACAGTAGCATTCATTGCAAACAGACTATTCTTCAACAACAGAAATGTTTCATGTTATAGAAATAATATATTCATTTTAAAGAAATGCTTCACCAAAATTTTCAGCAGAATCCTTAACAAACTTTATTAGAAATAAACTTTAATACTTTATAAAGTGTTAAAGGCGAAATAACTTCATATAAAGGAATAAAACGTTTAAGGCCAAATGCATCTTGGTCAAATCATTGCATATTTCAATAACTAAAAAGTAAAAAAGTCTGTCATTTTCTGCTAAGCAAGAAAATTTTGTGATCTTTCAGAATAAAAAATGTCATGCTTGGATTAAATTGAGGGCATAAACCATTCACTACCATTAAATAGTTACAAATCTTGAACAGAAATCTCTCAGAACCAAAACTGCATGCTTACTATGATTCGAAGTTTCGAACAAAAACTTGTCCAATTATTTGATAACATTGATGCCAGGATAACATTGTCGCTTGCTTCCAAGCTTAAAGATCTTGAAAACCTGTTACAAAGTCCGAACATAAGCCGAGAAAACACGTTCACGTACGAAAAATACTTCTTACAATGGGTCACGATCAATTTGAAGATCGAACTAGTAACCCGCAAACGAAGCTCAAACCAATGAAATTAAATCAGGTCTGCCGCAAATCGTTAAAAAAACGCAAAGAGCTTGCTATTATTCCTAATATATTTGATACTACAATGGAAAAAGCTTAAATTGCCTTCTTCTTTTGCATATAAACCCAATTTCCAATAGTATTATTATAGTTTCACTTTGCAAGTAGGAACCAAAATGGCGCTTCTCGCTCGCCCCATACCGTTTGTCCCAACTCTTACTAATAGAGAAGCTATTGAGTGAAGCATGCGCACTTAGTTTAAATTTGAAAAATGGCGGAAAGCTCTATAGATGATAATGCAAAGAAAAGTAAAGAAACTGCCACGATCGACATAGATAATCGCTTTCAATGGACGTTAGAAACGGTTAAGGATCTACTGGAAGGGTTGCTCGAGTACAAGTCTCAAATAGAGTATAGAAACTCCGATTTCAATGCGGACAAAGTTAAACATATGAAGCAGTAAGAATTATTTTGGCCAACAAATATCGTGACGGTTCATTGTTTGGACCCACAGAAATTCCTGCATATACTGAAGAAGAAAGTAAGGAGGATTATACAAGGTCATGTGAAAAATTCAAAGCCCAAATTCGACGAGGATATACTCGAGTTCAAGAAAAAATAAAACATCTGCGGCAGAAATTCAGTAATGCTGTTACCTCAGGTACAAGATGAGGCTCAGGAAAAAATGGTTATGGAGTTTTGTGATGTTATGGTCGGAATATGGGGAGGATCACCTGCAACAGAACCATTGCAATTTGGTGTACAATCGGCAGAAAAGAGGATGAGGAAGGCTAGGAAATTAATAACTTTAATACAACTTTGTCTAATGAAATTGAAGAATCTTCTTGCATATCAGATAGTTCTCATCATCATGAATACATAGCAGAATGCGAGAATGCTTTTAGTGAGAAAGAGAAGCATGAAAAAATAAGTGGCAAGCGGAAAAGGAACGTGGTATTCTGAAAATTGACCTCCGTCCCAATGTCTTCGGAACACGAAGAATAATCACAATCACAACTTTGGGTTTGTTGAACAACTTTATTCTCACTCTCAAAGGTATCTCGCTTATCTCACTCTCTCTCGCCATTCTCACTTCCGTTCTCTCCTCTCTCTACTTCCGTTCCACACATGTTTTCTGTATTGTTCCTTATCATCCCCGACGTACCCGAATGTACAATTGAACCCAACACAACTTTAACATAATTTGCAACACCCTCCCCCACATGTGACTATGAATGAGTCACATGTTATATCACTTTGTCTCGAAGTTTATTTCATTCCTGTACCATTAGCTCCTGATTTATCGCCTCCGCAACCACAGCAGCTTGTCGTCTTGGTCTGAATTCCTTGGCGTTCACTCGCAACTTCTTTTGATGGTTGCTGACGTTACATTGTAATTCTAAAGGATAGATCAGTTGGATTGGTCTCTCAAGAGATATTTTTCCACACTGAAGTTTCCTCCTCTCACAACTCCATCTCTTCCACGGATCAACGTCGTTATCTTTCCGATTTTCCACATATTTCTGTTTTTCTCACCCTTAATTAAAACGATATCTCCCTCCTTCGGATGAGATTCGGTTGCTGATTTATTAACTTGATTGCGTTGACGTAGACTTGTTAAATATTCTCGCTGCCATCTGTTCTACAATTGGGTTTTGATTTTGTACAAATACTTTGCACGCTTCCGTAGTTCGCCGTCCTTAATGTGACGACTCTCCACTTCAGGGATGACATTCGTCTGTTGCAGAACGAACGAAGATGGCGTAAGTACGGGGAGTTCAACATCATCCTCTACGCAGCTCAGTGGTCGATTATTCATACAACATGAATAATCATTCATTCGATATGTAATTCCATTTATCTTGACTACAAGAATGGCGAAGATTCCTTCACCAGTACATCCATCTGTAGTGAACACAGTCTGAAGTGTTTTTAGTGTTTCTTCTCGATTGGCGACATTACATATGCTCGTATGGTGTCGTTTTGTGGCAATTTCTGCATGATGACTTGCTGGGGCAAGCGTTAGCATCATGCTGTCCTGCTTTACAGTTGAAACAAAGTTTCTTTTTGACTAAAATTGCTTTTCTCTCCTTGACAGTACTGATTACTTTACATTCCCCCGACTTATGATTTCCCTCACGGTAGACGCACACACCCTTTTCTTTGGTATGAAAGACTTTCTCTGACCTTCTAGATTTCCATCCAGGTGTGTCTGACTCTTTCTCACAGACTGGATTTTGCCTGGTACAATGTCTGACTGCTTCAGTAAGCTTGGAAAAGTCCCAACTTTCCCATTTTGGATCATTTCTAACAAGGTCCCCACGTATGGCTGGGAGTTTGTCTAGAGTCATGGAAACATTTCCTTGCACATCTTTCAGTTTACCCAGCGTTTCCAAAGCTTGGACACTGTGATTTAACTTCTCACTAAATTCTGCAATCTTTCTCGAGTTTGCTCCGGAGATATGTGGCAAGTCCATGATCTCTTTTATGTAAGCTTTTATAATTTCCGAATTCTTCCCATACTGAGCTTTTAAAATTGACTCCGCTCTATAGAATCCTTCGGTGATAAACGGTAATGATTCTATCTGTCGCTTAACTTTGGGCCCAAGAAAACCACATAGATATGTGAATTTGTTGATGGCAGCTATATTTGACTTGTCCACCGTCTCCGTAAATTGCCCCCAAAATCTGGGCCAATCCATGTTTCCCCCTCAAATTTCGTAATATTTATTTTTGGTAATCTCACCGACATACCTTCATCACTTATTTTTGAGTCCCCGGACTTTGAATTTTGAATTTTTGCATTTACTTGAGCTTTCGTTTCTTGAAGCTTCACTTCAAATTTAAGTTGCTCCTCGCGAGCGTGATTTTCCTCTTCTAATTTCCTATTGTTTAGCCAGTGTTGTAGCTTGTTTATTTCGTCTTCGGCTTCACTTATTTTTGTTTCGATTTCCGCATTCCAATCGCTGATTTCTTCAAGGTCGTCTTCTCTTTCGATTTTCGCTGCTTCTACAGCTCTTTTAAAATTGTCAGCTTCGTTTATAGTTGTTTTGAGTGCGTTCAGTTGTCGTTCGATAGTTTCGCGCTTTCCCGAATCTAATATATTAGCTGTTCTTTGAGAAGATAACTTCAGTTGAGTTAATTTTATATTGAGTTTTGCTTCGTCGTTTGCCATGTTTGTATAGGACGCGTAATATCTCGTACAAAATTTTCACAATATATCACAATAACAATCCTTCGTCGGTAGGTGCCACGTATTCCGAAAATTGACCTCCGTCCCAATGTCTTCGGAACACGAAGAATAATCACAACCACAACTTCGGGTTTCATGTTTGTAAATGTCGATCGTCCAGGTTGGTATAGTCCTGAGAAGGACTGTTTTTGTTGTTGTTGACTGACGTTTCGACAACCTTAGCGGTAGTCATCTTCAGAGTCATTTGGCTAGCCTTTAGGCGGCCACATGCACATTTTACCTGGTTTCTTGCTGCTCTTCGCATGTTGTTAAAAACTATTTCATCATTGCTTAAGCATGATTGGTATTCTTTAATGCAGTTGGGTGTTAAAGGATATGCCAGGTCACCTATGACGTAGTTAGGTATTTTGTCATGACCAGGTAAAACATGAGTGAAGGTTTGTGGTAATCTACCCAATTTTAGTTCATTATTTTTCAACGAGTTTGAAAATACTTTCGCATCATGGACGCTGCCAGGCCACCTGCAGTCAACATCCATGAATAAGCCATTTGAATCACAAACAGCTTGAACATTAATGGAGAAAAACTGTTTATAATTGAAGTAATCTTGAGAATCAACCAACGGTCTTTGAATGTGAGTACCATGCAGCTAAACGCCTGAGTCATGCCAAACCTTGTTTCAAACTCAGCCACTTTTTTCCGCATTTGCACTACTGTTTGTGGAAGATGCAGATATATTGGACAAAGATGTATACAAATTGCAATGCAAACTGCTAAAACGATTTTAGAAACTGTACATTGATAAACACCAAAGGCATTCGCTTTTATCCAAATGGAAGCAGTGTCTTTTAAGTGATATAAAGTGATAGCGAGTTTTTTTTCACGAGATAGTGACCTATAATTTGGAGTGTTTATTCCTTCAGAAATGTAAGGTCGCAACTCCCCGCACAATTGAAAAAATCGCTCTTTCGACATTCTAAAGTTTCGCTTCCACTCATCATCTGGGGTAACTCCATCAAACATATTCTTCCACCATAAGTCAGTTCTTCCTTTTTTGATTCATATAGCTCGCTTTTTCCTACTAAGTTTCCTGGCTCTTATGTATCGTGCTTTTTTCTCAGCTACTAATTTTTTGTGGCATAGTAACTATAAAAGACTCTGTTAACGTATTGCCTGTATGCTGCCCATAATTAATGAGACAGTAAAATTGAAAAAGTAGACAGGAAACGGAGAATGGAGTGATGCGAAAATTTCAGTGTTTACAAAATGTTCGCCATATTTTTCCTCAAAAAATTCGAATCTCTCCCGGAGACAGGAACCAGAGTACCCGAGATAACTCACCTTGCCGGGACAACTCGGTCCATGTAATCTGCCCCTAAGGTGGTATTTATATAAGTTTTCTTATATAAAACAGAATTTTGACGATAAAATCCAAACGATTACAGAACGGGAATTTAATGATCACAAAAAATTGTAATCATTAAATTTGGTAAATAATTTTTGAACTATATAAACATCAGTCGCGTGACTGACTTGACATACCGTAGATCCGCCCCTGTATAAAACCAACTATTCACCCTCTTCCTTCAAAATCATCGACACTGCAGACACCTCATTCTCTCTTAAAATCAAAGAAGCACTCCACATTAACAAAATTAACCCTGACCACAATGTTCAAGTTTTTAGATTCAACATCAACATTTCCTTTGCAACACGCTTTCTATTAATTAATCTCATTTCCTTATTATTTTTATAATTTATGTATCATATTACTTTTATATAAACTTTGTATCATTTATGTAATTATTCACTTATACTGATGATGCATATGGCATCGTGAGATGCCGAAACATGTCTATTTAAAAAAAACTCGTCGTCTATATTAAATGCACATAAATTTGTGCATTATAAAACAACACAGTAATAGTGAGTAAATCTGCCTAATTATCATTCATTAAATAACGCTGTTATTTTGGGCAAAATGCATGTGCATTTTATGAGAATAATAGTTCATAGCACTGTGACATTAATTTAGTCAACATATATTCAGAATTTGTTCAATGAAATAAAATATGTTGTGTTCATGCTTTAAAGATATTAGTTCATTAATTATGCAACTACGTATAAAGAACTTACTTGTAAAAAAAAGTGTCAAACAAAATTTTCTAGTACTGCAAAATAGACTTATGTTGTTCAGTAATAGTGTACATTAAATTGTTCGAGCTCGAACGGATCGAGTAATAATTTTTACAAATTGTAACGCGCTCGTTTTCGTTTTCGCAGAAGTGGAGACTCCTGAAGATGTTCGAGACTATTTGTCGAAAGGGTGGAAGTCTTGAAACTTGGTTGCAAACAACCAGCCGAGCCCAGCTTATCTTGAAAATTTATAGGCAGTTTCAAAAGTTTGTCGTAGTCAGAAGTGTTTGGAATCACAACAGATACAAGCTTTCTTTTTCTTCGACAATTCACCGTTTCGCTTTTCGGCTTGACAACACTTGAATTAACTGCAATCTCGCCATTCTTGGAAGATTCATCACGATTCATCACTAAAAAACAAAAATGGTTATGGTAAAAACAACTCAAAACTTACTGTCTTTTCAAGCGGATGGCGTGCAAAAGGTATGCAATGCGATACAACACAATGAGCTCCTGTTGGGCGAAACTTAACATTCGCAAACTTAGTCTACACTGAGACATGCTACAAAAAAGAAATATCGCATTGGCCCATGTTAAAACTTTAAGACATTTTTTCTATAATAAAAATGTAACTCATCATATTGGGCCATTGGCTCAATTGCTTATTCTGTTTGAACTGTAACAATGTGCTTAATAACTACACACGTCGTTTCATTAGTGCGATCAATTTAACTAAGAAATGTATTATTGACATTTATAAAAAGAAAACAGTAAAACGAGGGCGCGGATTGGTCTATGGCTGAGTTTCTAAAAGCCTTTGCAGACAGACCTTAGATGAATCATTTCAATCACAGAGAATTTATAAATCAATTATGAATACATGTTAGAGGAAAACCTAAAACATTTATTATTTAAATTTATCTGTTTCGCAATACTTTCAAACTTTATAAAAGAAATAAAGAATGTTTTTCGTGTTTGCAAACCTCGGAGACGTTTGTGAGAACTTTCAAGCAGGTGCAACTTATTTCTTCTTATATGTAGCTCCGAGTGAACGTTGAAACAAGGGAATGTAAATACACGAGTCTCAACTACACAACGCTGTAAGTACAATTCATATCTTACTTGGTGCCGTGTTTCTCGTAGTCTTACGTTGCTTCAAAATCTTGTTTAAAGGGCTGATATTTTTTACTTGTGATCGCTTAGTTTTCTTTCTCTTTGTTCTGGTGTTGCACTTAAACTCTTCCTTTGCTTCCTCATTTTTTAAGTTCTTATGTAATTCATTATCAACACGTGAATTCTGGTTCATCTCTTCGTCAATTTTATACTTTGAAAATATTGTTCCATCATCACTCTGCTTCACAACAGAGTCATTTACAGAATTTGCAGTGGAATGTATTTCAACCATTGTCGAGCATTTCAACGCCGAGACACGACCAAGTAACGTTGAGCGACAACCAAGTATCGGCGATGGTGCGACAATATCGTCAAGGCATTTGTTTATTACTTTGGAGTTAGCCCTGGTAATTTCTGATTTTTTGTCAAACAACAGATTAACGTCATCCGATTTAAAAATAAATCTCCCATCTTGGAATCGATTTATTTCAACGTCTAAATTCTCCGGTTTAAAACCAGGTTCTTCCAAATCTATGGCACATGTAACTGAATTCAATTCACCCTTTTCTTCATGCTCTATTTCATCAAAATGTTTTCTATGGTTCATACCCACGTTCGATGATTGACAAGTCAAAACTGTTCTTTGGCCGAGTGTTTTGAGTGGATTGTCGATAGTTAAACTATTTTTTCTTGTCTTGTAACGAGAGCTTTTTACAGGTGTCAGGGGTATTGTAATGTCAAACATTGGTTGAGAATCGACATTGATCGGAGGTGATTTCGGTGATTTTTGCGGCGTCTTGAAAAGAACGGGAGATTTACAAGAAAATGAATTATCTGGGATGCATGGATATGTAGAATCATTTAAGGAAGAAGTAGTACTAAAGCTAGGCAACGAATGATATTTTTCGTCTAAGGCCACCTTCGAGCTCTTACTGGAATCTAATAATCTCCGCGTTGTATCGTATTCTGCATTCAAGCATTTTCGATGTTCTTCAAAAGGAATGATGGAGATACTGGGGTACAAATTAGGACTGATTTTCTTAATGTTAATTGCGCTTGTGGGGCTACTGCTTTTTTTCTGAAAAAAATGGGTAAAGTCGTCTTCAAATTGAGTTTCAAAACACTCGTCAGTCGATAACGATAAATTCTTTCTTCGAGGGTTCAAACTAACACTGGTCAAAGTGTTATCGAAGTTCAGGCTTTTGATTCGACGTATATTACGGTCAATAGCAAAACGAGAACATTCAGTCGAAACAGATTGCTTCGACGAAATACTGCTCAACTGTTTACCAGAAGGATAAAACAAGTCAGCTTTGACACGTGGACTCCTCCATAAGATTGAGACAGCATCTATACAATAGAAAAAAAGTTTTGAATTTTTGGATGGCATTAAACAACGCAAAAAAAGTATAAATTTCAAAGCGGACAGTAAAAAATACGAAGAAATTCAAAAGGACATGGGACACCCAATCAGCTTAAAAAAATAAAACACAATGTATAAGTATTTCATCTTTCTCCTTTGCTAACAGAATATGGGTAAGAAGTAATTTCGAACATTTAAGACACTTTTTGGCTCTACATTTGTCGGATGCAAAAAACGTTAACTATACATTTTGCGCGAATTATAAAACAGTCTTGTACGCTTTCGTAAATCCTACACAATCTTGGGGATAAGTGACGAAGCTGGCTGAGATCATCATCATCATCATATCTTTTCGCGCCAAGGGGCGATCCAAACTCGGGCTGGAAGTTTGGAAGTGTTGCGCGCGGTGTAGCAATCAGTTGAAATCAGGGACGGCACGTGAAGCCTTGCTACTTGTCCCTGCTGGCTGAGATAGATATAAAAAATGACCCACCATCATGTTTAAGTGGAGATTCCTTGACAACTGTGGTATCTTTCATTGTCTTTGCGCGCTTTCTGAAAAATTTGATTTAATACAAACGTTCATTTCATGAAGCTGAAAGGAAAGAATAAAGAAGAAAAGCAAACATGTATCTAAAACAAAGAAAAGGACGAGAAGATGATGAACAAAATATGTCAAAGGGTTGGAACAAAACCAGCAGATTTGCAGGATATAGGACTTTTATTATTCAAAAATAAGGTGGAAAATGTCACGTGACTTTTGTAAAACTTTTGATGCAATAGATTTCCGATAAAAACATTGAAATTTAATGAAAACTACAAGTTTTTTTTTTAAATGAACATGTTTCAACATCTCATAGTACCATCTTTAGTATAATAAAGAATATTATGTATAAGATAAATATATATAAGAGTAATATGATATGATATAGTGAAACTATTTATACAATTATGAATAGATAATAAAATAAATTTTACAATGAAATATTGGTTAGAATTAATGATAAGTGTATTTAAAGGCTTAATATAGTGTTAAAACAAAAAACTTGAACGTTTAAATTAGGGTTAGTTTTGTTGATGTGAAATGCTTAAGTGTGATTGTAGTATCTGCAGTGTCAATGATTTTAAAGAAAGAGGGTGAAGAGTTAGCTTTGCATGAAGGTGATTTTAATAGGTGTCCATAGATATGCCAGTTTTTGTCAGCCGTGGTTTAAAGTAAAGAGTTTTTATGGACTGTTCGTTGTTGTTGGTCGTGATTGTTATATCGGATGCTTTAATGTTTGCAGATAGTATTAGTTTTGTCATGGAGATATCGTTCGACAGTTTTGTTGATGAAGTGTAGTGGGAAAGAGTTACGTAATAAAATAGATCATGAAAGTGGTGAATAACTAAAGTTAGTCAATAGTCCTGTGTAGGCTGGTTTATGATACGTCGACGTTGTATAGGTGTCATGTGATTTTGTAAGTAAAATGTCTAGAAAAGATAGTTGGTTTTGTTTTTCAGTTTCGAGAAAAAATATAATGTTCGCGTGATTTTCATTGACGTAACTAAAAAAGTGCATAGCCTCAGTCTCAAAACGGAACATGCACACTTTGCTCACTCCTATAGCTATATCATGTCTTAACCCTACACCAGCTGATTTCAGAAAACATCGTATCCTTAAAAACATTCGTAACAATCTCAATATTATTATTATTAAACTGGACGAAGGAAATGGTATTGTCAAACATATCGAAATTCCTGCCTTTAAATAAAAACCATACAGCAAAATTCACAACGCATGATGAAGATCCCACACTATCCCGGGAAGCTAAATTATAACAACTGCTAAGAAAACTGAGAAAGAAGGGTTCAACTGACAACTAAATGTACAATGACATTGTCCCTAAAGGCTCTCAACCGTCCCATTTTCTTGGCTTACTCATGTTACACAAGAAACGTGAAGCAGGACAACCGCCTCCCCTACGACTAATAATCTTATCAACGAATTCTTACAATTATAATTTAGTTCTCAGTATCTCAGTTCCATACTAGCACCACTCATACCAGATGACCACTCCACTAAAGATTCTTTCACTTTCTTCGACGAAATCTCATCTTTCAACTCATCAACTTCTTGTCACAAATTCTTCATCTCCTACGACATTGAAAGCTAATTCACTAACATAGCACTTACTGAAACGATCGACTTAGCCATTTACGCTATTTTCACCGACAGCCCTAACTTCACCATGACCAAGACAGACCTAAACAACTATTTTTAATAGCAACGGCTAAAACACGTTTTCATTTGATGGAAAATTTTACGACCAGACTGACGGTGTTGCGATGGGTTCTTCCCTAGCACCTATACTTGCAAACATTTTTATGGGTTCACATGAACAAAACTGGATTACTAACTACGACACAAAACCATTTTAATACAAACCACTTTCATACAAGACTGGATTAATACACACACTCATATATAGAGAGAGCATACAAAACTAACAACACCGACAATGGCTTTCAACAAGACCTAATGAACATCACATCTATTTTATTACGTAACTCTTCTCTCCACTACACTTCATCAACAAAACTGTAAAACGATATCTCCATGACAAAACTAACACCAACTGCAAAGCAAATACCAAAACATCCGATATAACAATCACGAACAATAACAACGAACACTCCATAAAAACTCTTTACTTTAAACTACCGTATATCGGACATCATTTGCGACACACAAAACTTAGACTTACAAACATCATCAAACGCTTCTGCACTGACATTAACATCCGACTAAATTTCACTTCATTCAAAATCAAAAACTACTTTTCATTCAACGATTCCTATCCCTGATTCTATTAAATCAATGGTGGTATACCAATTCGATTGTGCGGGATTAATTCCCGATATATTGGCGAATTCTCGTCACTTGTCGACCAGAATCAGGGAACACACCACAAGTGACAAAAACTCACATATCTATTGACACCTGTTAAAATCACTTTCCTGCAAAACTAACTCTTCGCCCTCTTACTTTAAAATCATTGACACTGCAGATACTACAATCACACTTAAGCACTTTACATCAACGAACTAACTCTGATTTCAACGTTCAAGTTTTTCGTTTTAACACTATATTCAGCCTGTAAATACACTTATCTTTAATTAAATGCGCATTATCAATACTGCTTTTACGCAGTCACGGTAACATTGAAATTCTTTACCTCGCCCACTGTTGTCGTTTCAGAATACGATTGGAAACTTGCTTTGCATCTGGCGTCTCCGGAACTGTGTTTGTTTCAGTACAATCTAAAACATAAACACGAATGTTCCTATAATGTTCGCTACAGAGTCCTTTCTAATATTAAAACCTATTATCCCATAATGCAAACTGCAAAGGTGTAAAGGCTAGGTTCTGGCACATTACACGAAAGACACGTTACTCAGACCTTAAATTACGCGTGGCAGACTGGCCGTGGAAAGAAAATTTATATACCACAATAGATATATAAGCGAAATTGACGGTAAAATCAACATAAGTAACGGAAGTATACCTCTGTTGACGGTTGCACGAAGTCTGGATAGCGCTATCTATTGGATGGTAACATTTTCAAACTTGTAGAAAAGTTGTTGGCATTTTCCTTACGACATAGAAATTTTGTTATCTTGGAAGCAATATTTTCTTTTAGAGAATTCAAATCTTATATTTTTCTCTTTAAAGAGGTTTTTAAACGTTAAAAAAGTTAGCTATCAAGTGAATAGCGCTATTCGGTCTTTGTGCAAACGGCCTTTGATGATTGTGCAGAAGAGCCAATACACACGTGTAGCTAGTTATAGTAACCTCGTATAGTAACACATATAAGATCTCACACTCATCAAGTGCAACATAATAATCACACTTTATGTAATCATTGAAAGGTCATTTCTCAATTTATAGCAACATTTTCTCCCAGATATTTGATATCAAGCAATCAGTAGAGTGAAATTTCGGTCTTCGAATTATTATGACTTTGAAGACCACTCATTGAGTATGAGTGTGAGTGTGAGTGAGCTTTTAGAATACAGCCGTAAGTCTGAAAAATACACTAACTAGAGATTGTATGCTTCTTGGAAATCGAAGGTTTACGATTCAACTTTCCATCGAACAAATCTCGTCGAACCATTTTGACTGGCTCAAGAAGAGGACTTTTTCTTTTCAAATTAGAAGCTATAAGAATATTTCGAGAATAAAACGTCGGCAAATTCCATTAACGCAGCGATCGTAAGCAGATAACATGACAACAATGGAATCTCACATATTTTTGAACTTCTTTTGTGTGCAGTACTGACAACTTTCTTTTTCATAGCTTTCACCAACTTTTCCTTCTTTGGTAGAGCAATTTCTCGTCTTCTAACGGGAGCTCCCACAACACTGTGACTGTGACTGTGACGCAGGCCGCGAGAGCCTTGAGCGGGCTCAGAGCTAAAATAAATATAAAGGACTACTATTCACAAAGGGGTACTATATTAGTGATTTCGTGTTGCATTTTCGTGCAAATTAGTTGAAAAAGTAAATGAAACGAATTATCAACGAATTGTTATGAACGAAACATATTAAATTAACACGAGACGAGAAAGACTCATCTCACCACAAGGGTCTCCCTTTTTCACTAGAGCATCTAAATTTAGCAAACCTCCTTCAAAAATGTTTAAGTCGGTGACGTAAGAAGCTAGTTGTGATTACTTTTGAATAGGGTACTCAACCTTTTAGAGTTTGGTCTACAGGCGATCGCAACTTTGTGGAAAGTCGTTACGTCATAGGGTCCATAAAAATATTTTGTCTCCAGCCCCACAATGTCTATCGCCAGCCCGAGGTTTTTTCAATATTTTACTACGACTTACCCACTGTTATCAAAACTAAGTGATTTCGAGCTGGAAAGGATCTCCCTCTTCTCTTTTAAAGGCGTTTCTTCATCACTAGTCGCGTGCAATGGCGAGAGAAGTTCTTTCGGCGGCCGTTGCATCAAGCCTTCGTACACGTGACGGAGAAGCTCTGGTAGACAGCGACCATACCTTGATAAGATGCTGTCTTTAAGGAACTCGTTCAAGTAACTCGGATCAGTGACAAAAGACAAAGAACGAAGAAAGCCCGTGATCTACAGAAAGACAATGCTTATAGATTAACAAATATTACAAATATACGAGACTTACACATATCGTTGAATCTCCATGTAGTTTTCTGTTTAATTGTGAAACATCACTTGGTGATACGAACTAACAAATATTGAAACTGTATGGCAAACCTGCTTGGCAAATTTCTTCGGATTTGAGGAATTGATTTTATCCACGTATGCCAAACGAAGAAAGATTTGCAATTGGCACCTAAAAAAACATAAAAAGACCGAGTAAACTCGTGACAATTGTTTCTGAACGCTCACGAGTTGTAGCTAACATGCTTGCTTCGTTTGGTAAAACAGTTCGGAGCAAGAGACCAAAGGTTAAATTCTATTTTACTACCTAGTAACTATAAATTAACCTTTCAAAAACACGGCGCTGATTGGTCGAACGTTTCTGTAACTCAAAGTTGCACGAGACTTCACTTTCACAAAAATCTCGCAAGTTGCACGGCAAATTTAAAAATAAAAATAACATTCCAATAAAATCAATACATTTGTCATTCTTATATTGTTTTTACAAAGCTACTTTAAAAAGGAAATTGAAAAAATTTCTTAGTTATAACGCTTGTGAAAGTTTGGGAAAAACTCGAAAATGCTTGAAAACACTCGCATTTCGTGCATGCCACGCAAATTCTCGTTTCTCTCAAACCCTACCGCGTGTATCTATATCTAAACCAAAACTCGGAAAATGTTTTCTATTCCTTACTTAAAAAGAAGAAAATGGTCCTAAAGAAGAATAAGAAAATACAATGCAGGGGCGTAACCGAGGGGCGAAAAGGGAAATGGGTGAGTTGCTGTTCCCCAATCCTGGCACGGTTTCCAGATGCATTCTGGGATCGCTAATTCCTAGGAGTACAATCCACAGTCAATTAGCGTAAAGTGCGGCATAAAGAGATTAAAAGCAAAATTTTCTTAAATTTTTGCCAGATTGTCTTGCGAATATTGGCATTTCATCGCAATACATGCCTAAATGTGAACTTTGCTTGACATTTAGTTGCATAAACGATTGCAGATACCCAGTTAAATGTTGATTAGATTCAACCGCTTCGTCAGAGACAGGGTCAAGATCCAGAGTCATGACACGATAGAGACAATTCCCGTCCCCACGAACGCTCACTTCTCGTCTACCAGTTACAATGAACCCATTTCATAAAAAATTGGCATTTTCAATTTTTTTGACATTTCAAGCAGTTTCACATTTATGGAGAATGGTTTGTTTCCTGTTAGCGATACCACAATGCATTCCGAAACCGCGCAAAGACTAGAAAACGCAACTTACCCATTGCACCAACTTTTTTCATGACAATTTCAAATTGACAGCTATGACAGCTACAAAAGTTGCTTTTTCGGAACGTTCTAAGTTATTTGCCCTTTTTCATCAATCCTGTCAACGCCTTTTGCAGAAATTGGTCCAAGAGTTGTCTGTCTAATAGTGAGTAATACACGAACCAAAAAAAAACTTCTGAAGCTTCACAATAAGACTTAAATTTGTGAAAATACAATCATCTTCGATAAAGCATTCAGATCAAATAATGCCCGTTTGATCAATAAAAGCATGAACGGCTAACTTTCTTATGGCAATGTAACTCAATGCACATTAGAATTCGAAATGAAAATGTTTTATACGTAATATAGCAAAGTTTGGCAAATCAGAAAGTCTGGTGATATGGCTACAAACAAACAGCACAACAAGCAATCATTCTTACTCTACAGATGTTCTTTCAGGACTTGACCCATTTCCCAAATCGTCAAAAATTTCAAAGGTATTCTCGCCACAATGAAACACAGTCGTATTTAACACGTCATCGATAATGGCCTTGAGAGAAAAGATTCATGAAAAATCAAAACAGACAAACACATGCTTATTTCATTAATTGTTTAAGCAAAAAAATATATGATACGGTAAGGCATATAAATCGGGCTGAAAAGTGCTGATTTTTCATTTCCAGAATTTAGTCTAGCATGAAGTTAATATACAACCAATATGGAACTTAAAAGAATTTGCTGCCAGAAGTCTTCCTATTATTTTTGTCAGTTCAACAACCCAATACTTCATGTATTTTTTTTCCACATGAATAAAAAACTGTAGGTTTGCTGAAAAAGTAAACGTTCCTCACATTTTTTGGCTTAAAGCAATATTAAAAATAATATTTGACATTGGTTATGTCGAAATAAAACTTACCAAGTCTTCAAGTTCTCCAGATTTCCTTAATTGTTCAATCATTTCAAAAACATGATCGATATAGGTCAACATGGGTAGCGCCTAAGTTCAATTGACACTGCATCACGACAAACATGTGAAATTGGGGAGAAGGTTAAAGTATATGTTTAATAACCTGATTTAAACATCGTTTGTATCCTTTTTGAATCCACAGTTTGAGATCGTCGACATTGTCAATAACTAAAATATGAACAACATTTACATACTTTGACTACGTCAAAGTGTCATATTTGTATGTATTCCTACAGACATTAAGAAATAGAAAACACTTTCCGTGTTTCTACAGAGCTATAGAAACAGGGAAGAAAGTTTGTAAAATTTGAAAAAACACGATTTTCTAATTTGCTCGCTAGAAATTCCTACCATTGAAATGAATATAACTGGAATACAATGAATTTATAAGTATTGGTTATTTTTGAACAGACACACGCGTGTCTGGAGCTTGAGTTGCGCAAATTTTGGCTTTATAAAAAAATCTGAAGGTACCGCTCCAGTTATATTCATTTCGATGACCCTAACCAACATTTGCTCATCCCTTACCATCAACCTCGTTTGCTTTTTTATAAACCGCATTTGGGTGAATTCTAGTGACGCAGTCAGACAGACCACCCTGAACATAATTCTCGCCGGAGACTGGTGTCGTTCGTAGTATTTCTGCACACATCCTGCTTCCAGGGAACGTTCGAGCGTCGGCCATTTGCTCAGACTCATTACTCAAATTTACTTTTTCTTGCGCAGTGTAGTAGTCTTTAAGATTTTCCAGCATATTCTTCGTAAAGATTCTTCTTTTCGAGTTGTTCTTTTCAAAAGAGCTGTACAATGAAATAAAGATATACAAACATTTCAAAACAGTTTTAAATGTTCAAAAATGACCAATATTTATATATTCATTAGAAATGATCGGATGATGATGCGTCTTCGTGTAGTTTGGTTTACGTTCTTCAGAAGAAATCATAGATCTTTAAGTCTTAAATATACTCAAATGGTAATCATACTAAAATTAAATGTGTCTGAACAAGGAGTGATCTAATTTTGAATATTTTTGTGTGTTCCAGATAGACATGTCTAGATAGTTCAAGATGTCTCGATAATCATACTAAAGTTAAATGTGTCTCAACAAGGAGTGATCTAATTTTGAATATTTTTGTGTGTTCTAGATAGACATGTCTAGATAGTTCAAGATGTCTAGATAACCATACTAAAGATAAATGTGTCTCAACAAGGAGTGATCTAATTTTGAATATTTTTGTGTGTTCTAGATAGACATCTTGAACTATATCTGGTGTTAAATCTCAAGTCTTTGTGTGTAAATAGTTCATCAGACTTGATCTCAGTCGAACTTAAATGCCCTTGTCCCCTAGTATTGTAATTGATTGAAATATCACGTCCTTAAACATTCCAGGGTGGAAACTATAAAAAAATATTACTATTGATAACATCCACCTATAATCTTACTCGACATAACCATGAAAAGAATTTAGTCCAATGTTAACTCTTTCCGCATTCAATAGTTCATCGATGTTATCGCATCGCCAATCCTGCTCGGCAAGTTGCAAATCAAAAGGCAACAAATTCCCACGATCTTTCTGGGAAGTAACATCGATAGGCACGAGGAAATGTTTGTGCAATTTTTGACGTAAAACAGCATTCTCGAAATCATGAAAATGGTCGGCCGCAACTCTACTGAGGACGGCACACTGAGATGTCATTGCCTGTAATATGCCTGTTGTTACATCATGCCCTGTCTCGAGATCTCTGTATTCAAGTACCTATACATAAATTGTCAAAACAGAATATTTTCAGTCAAATCTATAGAGAAGAGCAGTGTACAGTGTACAGTGCATGATGAAAAAACGTGGGTAAAAATTTGCGCGAAACACGTATGCGGCATGTGGTAGCTAAAAATGAATGCAAACGACAGTGAGAAATGTCGATTGATATAGAAAAAATTCAATAAAATTACGCCCTTATTAACCGAGCTCGAGGTCTTTACTGAGAAATACCGGACAGATAATAAAATGTTTATTATATGGCCATTAGCTATTTGACCTGAAACGAAGCTTTCTTTCTTTTTGTCATTGCTGTTTTGTACGGGTTGGCTTTCTCTTTTCTAGTTTTCGTAAATAAAGATAAAATCGCTGCAAATTGTATCGTGGGGATAGTTTAACTGTTTTCCTACTTTTTTTCCTCTCGTAAACGGTTTTTGTTTCGTTTTTTTTTCGCTTTGCAGTTTACTTTACGAAATTTGTTTACATTTGGACCGTGGTCCATTACAGAAATAATGGGAGGTCCGTATATTGAAAAAATATATCACGAAGTCTCAGAAGCTGCACTATGCCAAAGGGCAAGGGGCGCATCACAGATCGAGGGAAAATATATTTTTTCGGTAAGTACGGAACGAAACAATAAAAAATGTTTTTATTTTTTATAAAGAAGCAATTCATGTTGTAAAATGGTCGACGTGGCTTTTAAAGCATAAAATTTGAATTAATTTCTACAAAGTTTACCTTGTCTGGATAATAAAATCGCTTTTGTTATGATAATCAGAATGCATTTTGCTTTCTCCGTAAAAAATTTTCGTGCATAAGTCAGTTTTAAAATTTTAAATGGTACTATGTAAAAATAAAATGAATCAAGTTCAATTCAACTTACATGGTGTCTCATCACAACCACAGACAAAACTGATCATCATTGAAATCAACGGACGTTTAGAATCTTAAGAAGCCGTAAACGTAATTGATACGATAATACAAACACATATTACGCTCACCGCTCATTGAAATCCCAAGCATGAAATTTCTTTCAATGACGTTTACTCTTCCATCAATTACTTCTCAATCATGCAAATTCTATAAAGGTCAGCTGATTTCAAAGATGAGCAGAAGACACTCTGTAACATCAACTTGATTCTAAAAGTCTAGATTAACAATGAAGCACAAAACGAGTCACGTGTGCACGTCTGTGTCCCCAATCAACTACAAGATCTTCGTGCTGAAAATACCACACTCACCAAGCAGATGGTTTTGCACAACATAAAAGACAACAACTGACGAAACAACTCGTTTGTTGTTGCCCCTTCAGCACCGTTCAAAGGGCCTTGGTCAAAATTGAAACAAGAATAAATATTTGAAGGATGCATCCATGCTGGTGAGACATGTTTACAACCAATGACATCGACTATGGTTAAAATATTTGTGCCTGTTTTCGCGTCTCTTTGCACATGACTGGATAAACCTTTAAGTGATTCTTGTGGGACTTGCGATGTATTTTGGGCAAAGCCGTTAGTTTCGGAAGCAAACGAAATAGTTTCATTCGACATTGTCTCATATTCCATCATTGTATTGGCCCTACAATTGTCTGGCTTGCTGTCTTCTTTGTAATCCAGCAAATCGCATTCGTTTGAGAACAAGCAAGATTTCTTAGGAAGAATAGGTGACAAAGTAATAACACACAGTTCTTTATCTAAAAAAAAACCAACAAGATGGCAATAAATTATACATACCCATGCTTTGAAAAGAGGATAAACATTACAACTATAATAACTTATTGCTATGGTAGTTTAACATAATAACAAACTGCATTTGGTCAACGTAAAAAATGTGCGAAAAGATTTTCCACCTTGAAAGACAACATTTCGTTCAGCATAAAGAGAAAGAGAGGGTGACGATACACATTTAGAAAGTAGACATTACATTTCATAAAATCGAGTCAATAATATTCCCTTTGTCGAGGTGCTAACCGAAATGACGCTTTTGAAAGTTGTACTTTTATAGATATCTAGCAAATTATTTTGGTCTAGATGTTTTCAAACGACTCTGTTCGTCCCTCAAATTGTACAAATAGAACAGAAACCAGGGTTCAAAAATAACTCTGTAATTATATGTCTACTGGCATATACTATTGTTATCGAAAAATTTTCCCTGCTATTTTCGCAATAAAGGCCTTATGAAAAATGTCGCTAATATGCATACATCCACAAAAAACGTAAACTTAAACGTGAAGAGAATGATGGCAGAAACATTGACAAAGGATGAGGTAGTCGACGTTACTATTACTGTTAATTACATGATAGGAACATAAAAATTTCCGCCATTTTCTTTGCTTTGAAATTACAAATTGCCCGCAACGTTCTAAAACAGCCGGCTATCACCGGCAGCTATTTCGAGCACTGTAAGTACTGATTATCACTTGATTAGAATTACATAACAAACCTACCTCTGTAACATAAACAACCGTAGATATCATCACCTGGGGTGTCATTTCTCAGCATACGCGGGCTGTCATTCATATTTCTTTGGACGACTTCCTTTCCTTCTAAAAATGTCGTAACAATATTCTTAAAAGAAAAATTGTAAGACTTCTCGATCATATTAATTTCCTTCAGCGTTGCTGACTCAACGGGAAGAACAGTCGGGTTCCATCGGGATAACGGGACAAACCAATTTTCTTGCAAGAAAATCGTAATCGGAATTATGTTACCGTGAAGTTTCTTCGTAACATATGACATCATCTTGTAACCCTGTTGATCCAAAATAAAGATAACAGGTTAGATAAATCAGCATAATTATATACCTTTGACAGCATCGCCTTAAGTTAAGATCAGGTTAAGATCAGATCGATTTTGGCGACGAGACAATTTACACAGAAAACAGAATAATCGACGAGCAAAATTAATTTAATCTTCAAAATAGTAAATCAAACTGAGCTCTTTTTACTTTCTTAGACACTTTTGTTCACAGCCCAAATTTTAAACTTTTTTTTCATAGGTGTCCAAGAAAATTTTAAGTGTATGTTTGTAGAAGAGATTGTGGAAAAAAAGAAATTCAAGTAGTGTTAATGTTCTAACAAACGCATTGGGCGTTTCATAACTTTCAACAGCTCTAAAGGCCTGTTTACGCGATCCGATTTGTCAAATCCGTTTTTGTTGGATCCTAAAACACGGATCGTGTGACCATATATAAAGTGAGCCTCCGACAGTAGGATCCATCAATGTAAAAAATCGGATGGAAATAGAACTTGCTCTATTTTCATTCGACAAGATCAAAGGAAGCCGACTAGTCAAATTACACAGATTTGAAAAAGATTTAGAAACAAGAACAAAAATACGAAAAATAAATTGATAAATGTACTGGATAACACAAATGGCTGTTCACACGATTATAAATATCCAAACGAATACAAAGATTAACAAAATGATCGGACAAACTGAACAAGCAATCAAAAGCCGGAAACGAAACAATCGGATCCGACAAATTGGATCGTGTAAACGGGCCTTAAGAGAGATGTTAAGAGAGACGTTAAATAAATAAAGGCGTTAATATCACGTCCTTCATTTAGTGAGTTTATATTACCATAACGGAAATTTGTTGGGGAGCGTCTATTAGAGACAGGAAGTTTGATAGGGTGAGGTGTCTACTTCAAACTCACCATCTAGTAGGAGGCGTTTATTAGATAGGAGGCGTTTATTATATGGGAGGCGTTTATTTGGTAGGAGGCGTTTATAAGATTGTTTACGGTGACCAAATAATTTGGTTAATATGTAACTTGCTCATATGAGTTATGGGTCAAGTTGATGGAATATTCATGAAGTATTAGTTCCTAGCGCATTGACTATTTTCAGCTAAAACAGGACTATTTTACGTCCCCTAGAATATTCGTCATACAAAAAAGCACAAAATTGATTGGTCAACGACATATCATCAGTATACCACTAATTTTTGGAAAATAGACATGTTTCGACATCTCATGATGCCATCTTCAGTATAAATGAATAATTACATAGATAATACAAAGTTTATATAAAAGTAATATGATACAGTGACATAAATATATAAATATGGATAAATTATAAAAATAGTAAGGAAATGAGATAAATTAATGGGGAGGGTGTAAACCAAATATTGTGTTGAACCTAAAAACTTGAACATTGAGGTCAGGGTTAGTTTTGTTAATGTGGAGTGCTTCTTTGATTTTAAGTGAAGTGTCTGCAGTGTCGATGATTTTGAAGCAAGAGGGTGAATAGTAGGTTTTACATGAGTGAGGTTTAAGAAGGCGTCTGTAGATATGAGAGTTTTTGTCTGTTGTGGTATGTTCCCTGATTCTGGTGGATAAATGGCGCGAAGTTTCGCCAATGTATCGGGAATTACATCCCGCGCAATTGAATTCATATACCACCATTGATTTAATTAAATCAGGGATTGGGTCATAAGAAGAAGTTTTTTATTTTAAATGATGTGAAAATTAGTCAAATGTCAACATCTGTACAGAAACGTTTCATAATGTTCGTGAGTTTGCGCTGTGTGAGTAATGTCCGATGTTTGGCAGTTTAAAGTATTGATATATGTTTGTAAATGATGATCGTCCAGGTTAATAAAGTCCTGAGAAGGACTGTTTTTGTTGTCGTTGACTGACGTTTCGACAACCTTAGCGGTAGTCATCTTCAGAGTCAAATGAGGAGTAAACGTCAGGTTAGCCGTATTTGTTATCTGGTTCTTACGTCATTGTATTGTGTGTACAGGAAATGTGTATTGTCATTGTGGATTAGTGTGAAGTGAAATATTCTATTTTTAGTTGTGATGTGTGATTTAGGTGTGACGTTTTTAGACGTAATGTGTGGGTGTCAAATGTGTTTGTCATTGTGAATTAGTTTGAAGTGTAATGTTTTTAGTTGATCGTTTGTTTGTATTGTGAATAAGTCGTTTGTAAGGTGCCGGTAATTGCTGTGATCTGTTCAGAGGGGTTTGTTCCAAGTTGGTATACCAACTTTCTAATGTAAGCCGTTGTCTATAGTCAGTACTGTAAGTGATGCATTTTGCCGAGTCCCAGTCAATGTTGTGCTTTGTGATTCGGTGATGTTCGGCAATGTGATTAGTTTTGTCTTGTTTCTTAGTAGCTCGTTTGTGCTCAGTAAGTCTTATGTTTAAGTTCCTGCCAGTTTCCCCAATATAGGAGGCGTGGCAGTCGGAGCAGTTTATTTTGTAAACTGCACCTTGTCGTTCGTTGGGTTGTTCTTTGTCCTTTATGTTCGTTAGTACTTGTCGTAACGTTGTGATTGGTTTATGTGCGACACGTATGTTGTATGGTCGTAAGATACGCGAGATAGTCTCAGACGTACCTTTGATGTAAGGTATCGTTGCTGTTGTCACTGAGTTGTTCGTTTCGTTGGGTTCGTTGGGTTTGTAAGTGTTGCGTTTGATAAAGTCAGAGTTATAGTTGTTTTTGTCAAAAACACGTTTGATAGTTGTTTTCGTTTTGTAGAGCGTCCGGTGACGATATGAACCTGGACGATCATCATTTACAAACATATAACGATACTCCCGGGTTCAAACCATTTACTTTAGAGTATTGAGTTGTTATTTTTGAATTTTCGTTTGCGTTGGTCGTGGTCGTCGTATCAGGAGTTTCAAAGTCCAGTTTGAGGTTATTTTTATTTTTGTTGTCGAGATATCGTTTTACGGACTTTCGTAAAAGAATGGATGTGATGTTTTTTAAGACTCGTTGAAAGCCATTGGTCCTATTGTTAAGTTTGTATGCTCTGTCGATAAGTTTGCGTATAAGTCCGGTTTTGTATGAAAGTGGTGTGAAGCTAAAATAATTCATCAGTCCTATGTATGTTGGTTTATGATATGTACAACGACAGCTGTCATGGGATTTTGTTAATAAAATGTCAAGAAATGGTAGTTGATCTTGTTGTTCAGTTCCGAATGAAAATCTAATGTTTGCGTGCTGTTTGTTGATGTAATTATAAAATTTCATGGCCTTAGTTTCGTTAGTAAAAACACAAAAAATATTGTCCATAAAGTATCTGCGGTAAAATAATGGTTTAGTGTCATTGTAATTGTTTAGCCGGTTTCGTTCATGTGAGCCTATGAGTGCTAAGGGAGAACCCATCGCAACACCATCCGTCTGGTCATAAAATTTTCCATTAAATAAAAAATGCGTCTGTGCTGTCGCTATCAAAAACAGTTGGGCGATGTCCGTCCTGTTTATAGGGATACTGAGGCTGTGAGTGAATATTGCGTCAATTGCTAGGTTGATGGTTTCAGAAAGTGGTATGTTAGTGAACAGCCTTTCAACCTTGTAGGAGATGAAGAATTGGTGACAAGAGGTCGATGGTTGAGTGGAAAGATGAGAAGTCATCGAGGAAAGTGAAAGAATCTTTAGTGGAGTGGTCATCTGGTATGAGTGGTGTTAGTAGAGAACTAAGATACTTAGCTAAATTATAATTGTATGCGTTGATTGATGAAACTATCGGTCGTAGTTGAGGCGGTTGTTCTGGTTTTCGTTTCTTGTGTAGTTTCGGTAAGCCATAGAAGTGTGAGGGTTGAGGACCTCTGGGGAAGATTTCATTTCAGACTTTGTTGTTAATGTGCCTTTCTTTACAAGCTTTCTTAGCAGTCGTTGCAGTTTTGCTTCACGTGATAGTGTGACGTCTTCTTTGAGTGGGGTAGAATTTGATGTATTGTTAATAATTTTAAGACAGGAGTTACAATTGATTTGACGATCCAGGATCACAACGCCGTTGCCTTTGTCCGGTTTGAGAATAATACTATTTGGATTGTTTCGAATGTTCTTAAGAATGGAATGTTTTTGAAGTCGGCTGGTATCGGATGGTAAGATGAGAGTCGTGAGACGTATGAGTGAGCGATGTGTGCCAGTTCTGTTTTGAGATGCGTGTAATCTTCTTGATTGCGAATATTGTATTTTATAGTTTGGTGGATTCTTTCGAATGTTGTCAAAATGTCGGTTGAGTTGAGTCGCAGTGGTTTAATGCTGAACCTTGACCATTTTTGAAGAGTTCTAGTTCTTCCTTTTTTTAATTGGTGTGATGAAAGCTTAGATATCGTTTCGTCGAGTGTGAATGGTAGAGCTCTGTTCCTCGTGAGATTACTTAGTTTTTTCAGATGTGTAGTAATTGTCTTTTGTAGGTATTTGGTTATATTTTTTCCAGAACTTTGTTTATGATACTCCAGTCGAGAGAGGATAGATCAATCTTTAAACTTTCTGATATTTTCTTTACTTCATTCGATAACTTCCGTTGTTAAAGCACTTCGCATTAACAAAAACTAACCCTGACCTCAATGTTCAAGTTTTTAGATTAAACACAATATTTAGTTTGTAGCTAACACGCTCCCCATTACTTTATCTCATTTCCTTATTACTTTTATAATTTATCCATATTTATATATTTATCTCACTGTGTCATATTACTTGTATATAAACTTTGTATTATCTATGTAATTATTCATTTATACTGAAGATGGCATCATGAGATGTTGAAACATGTCTATTTTCAAATAGCAATAGTGTTTCTATGAAATTATTTTAGTGTATCAATAAAACATATACCTACAGAAGAAAAAAATTTAAAATCTCTTCAAGCAATCTGAACTTAACTTAGGGACCTTATTCCCTAAACTGTTTCCATGTCTGCTAACAAGATAACATTGATCAAAGATCTAAATAATTTTTTATTTATCATTCAACCTTAACTAAAAAATTTCCCATTGTTTGTATACATGGCAGCAAAATTTTCAAGCCATTTTATGACAGTTTGTGTAAATGAATTCCCCTTCATACTCATGGATAATACAACATAAGAATTGTACAAGATAAGTATCAGAATATCAACTTTGTAAATGTAATAAAATTTCTAACGTATGCAATGTTTAGAGTTCGATCAAGTTTATTTTTTCACTAATCTAACCTAAGTTTATTTTATCCTTAAATCAGTCTTGAGAGAGGAAAGACCTCATTCTCAACATTGCTCCATTTATGCTGGAAAATTATGCTTGCTTTGGGTTAAAGAATTTGCACATTTTCTTGGCTTTACACAACAGTTTTAAAGGACAAAAAATAATGTGATTTAAGAAATTGGAAAAAAGTTTTATCATACATTCATCTTATAAATGCCTAGAGTGCTTACTCAAAAAATTTTAGTGGTTCTAGGGAATGCATTATATGGACATGAGGTGCTCAATACGGAACGGTTGGGTGTATAATGAAAAAAAGTTTATGGATTCAGAAGACAGTCGACAACCCACGCTAAATATGTATTACCTATCATGTATAAATATGGAAGCCTCTAATAGATACCTGGTGTTATTTGATAAAGGGACAAGACTGCCATTTTGAAAAATCTTTGCTTTCATGCACAAAAATTTTGAAGCTTGAGTGATCAATTTACAAGCTTTGCAGTCTGGTAGAGTGGCATTTTATACAAATTCATGGTTCAAGAAATCATTAATTTGTCAAAGACTTTAAGAGTGTTTATTGGATCAGTTATGGTATAAGATAATGACCATATTTATGACAACAGGATATCATTCAAACATGAAATGAACACATATTTCAAACCTGACAAGGCAACTTGGAGTTTTTCTGAGGGAGCAACATGGATCCCAAATCAATCCAAAATAGTGACAAACCACATTTCTTACAAAATTCATCACAAAATACCGGGGAGAAATTTTTTTGAAAAGCAACATCGTAGTCAGAAGCAGAAGGCGTTCCATCAAACTGTTCGAAGTTTATATCACATGAGCTGGAGTCGCCAACAACAAATACAAAATTCTGGGACCATTTTTTCTCATTTATCAACTCATCTACTTTGCCCTTTTTAAAAGGTGACACAACATCAGGAGTGACCCATTCAAAATCGTGTAGGATCTCGGTCATTGAACAAGAAAGACCTCCAAAATTGGACGTGCTAATGATCGCAGACCTTACAGCTCTTTGGGTTTGGCATTCTTCTCCTTCATTTCGAGTTGTTTTATATTGCTCGCGCAATTCATCTTGAAATAACTCAAAGGAAATGTCGTCAAGTTCATAAAAACTCCGCCTTTTTAATTCAGAACTGGGGAGTTTCGAATTGAAGAATTTAAAACCCCATTTTAAAGGTTCTTTACAATTTCCAGTAGCGCCATTAACGGTCCTAAAATGAAGTAACAAGCGCAAAATGCTCAACGAGATTGCCCTGGACTTTACATCTAAAGCATAATCATTGTCTTTTAAGACATTGTATGTCTTTTCTTTGCATACGTCTATAAGGAATACTATTTTAAAATTCTCTCCATAAAGAAGACTCTCCGCCATCTTGAATACACTTTTAATTAATATTTAATTTCAACATTGAATATGTAATGCGCTGATCTCCCAAAAAGACTGGATCAAAAAACTCCATATGTGTATAGGCGGTATTCTATGGTGGATTTTTGTTCAGGTTGAGATGCAGAAATTCATGACTAAGTAAAAACAACATAGATGTACTGATATGTATTTGTTCTTTTCAGGATGTCTCTCTGTTCACCTCGGTAAAATCAGTCAATAGCCCATGTTCACCTTGAAAATGGATTACACCATTGAGTTCTATAATAACTGGAGCGGCTATCTCAAGCGCGGCCTTAGATATCTGATGATGCCAAAAAAATGGCGGATTTCGTCCTTTGCCGCTGAGATTTACCGAAATTGACCGCTTTTCCGAAAATTTCACAATTTCCCACTCCCTCCTGAGGAAAGAGTGAGGAAAATGTATGTGTGTATTTGAGATTTGGCAAGCAATTTTTTGATGAAAATCAAGGTAAAAACCTTAAATTCATAACAGCGAGACAACTGTGGTTGTCAGTTATCTGCTCCTACGAGGATGCATTTATAACTATCGACGAAAGAGCTATATATCGGCTACACATGTGTGAATACAGATGTGCGTCGTTTTCTTACCAGCGTCAAACTTGTTTGATCGATTAAACTCTTTAGTCTATACAAAAAGTATATCATAGTTCATCTCCACGGTTCACAGAGAGAAGTTAGCTTATTTGTTATCATTGCTATTTTGCTTCTTTTCATGCAATGGGCAATGGCTTTTTCGCCACAATTGTAGGATTTTTCTTGTTTCTCTAAAAAGTAAATATTAAATCTCTAGATATTTACGGATTTTCTGTAATTGAGTTTCATATTAAATTTCAAAAAGACTCAAGTCTGCATAGGTTTGGTAAATGAAAACAACAATATTGTATAGAAATTACTTTATGTAACCTTTTTGTGATGTTTTGAAGTGCAACTGCATCAAATACTTGTAAAGTTGTAGCACATTTTGATTTTGTTGTATTGATATATGAATTGGGCAAAATGCAAATAATCATCAAAACACTTATGCTTCCAGTGGTGTTTATAATTCATTTGTAGTTTTAATACTTCTACCCTTCTTTTTCACTTTGTTTTGTTTTCCCTATATTTGCAATATAAGTGCACAATTTGAATGATCAACACAGCTTTCACCTCAATAATAAATTTCATAAGCAGTTGGTAGTGCATTTTGTTCTCTGAGTATCCACATCTGGTGTTTTGTTCATACAAGAATGATGAAGTGCAAGTAGATATGTCATAGCAAGGCAATATAACCAAATGAATTAAATACCTTTAGTGTACTTTTGTGCTAGAAGCTTAAAAGCTTTTTAGAAATTTTAAAGTTATTGGATTATATTAACCATATATCATCAATCTCATGAAAAGAAATAAGAAGCAAAAAATTGTAGAAACGATTTGAAAAGTGAAGAAACTTTTTTTTAAAAAAAGCAGCAATTATTGCTTATGATAAATCTCCATTCTGTACTCTAATATGTAAATAAGCTCAAATTGTTTCTTAAAGTGAAAACTGTAATAATGAAGAAATATACAGTACAGTATCTTTAAAGGTTTCATCACTGAATCTTTAATGCTTCAGTATAGTGCATTAGATATTAGTAACATTCAAACAACACTCAACTAAACTATTTTGATAAAGATATGACATCATTTAAACATTAAGTTACACATAACCCAATGGCTTATACAGTTTGAAGCTTCACATCTGCATCGACTCATCATCAATCTCAGTACAAATGTTTACATAGACACAAACTTTATGGCCTTCCATTTTACATGTTTGTGAATTGACATTTCATTAAGCATCAAAACACACACAATCTTCTTGCCATCTTTCTTTGGTTCATGAACTTTAACTTCAAAGCATTCAAGGCATCCTTAGTGAATCCATTGTCTCCATCCATAGAGTTTGACCACGATCAAATTAAATAACTCTGGATAGGGCAGACAATAAATCAATTATCTTTACAGCATTATCATTTTTTAAGACTCTGCCTGGTCAATAACATCTTCCAGTCATCTTTACTCCTTGATCTTCCCTGCATGTTGTCAGCAAATAGAACATAACAAGCTCTGCTCCAAATCATGGGTACCGTTGGGGCTGATCATTTCTTTTTGATACTTACTCACAGAGCAAAATGTGTGCAGGGTGTTTTTTGCTTTACGGAAACTATTTTGCAAATAAATGGGTAAATTTACGATTTCATGCATTAACAAATGACAGAAAAGTATGCAGAATTTTATAAACAAAAACAGGAAAACATCAGTATATTTGGCGTTTAAGTCAGTCTTAAAAAATACGATCTTTAATATGAATTTTATGGCTTTTCAAGTGCATGTATAATTGCTTTTCAATCGTTGACGGACTAACAAAACAAACAACTACCTCACCTGTGAGAAGCGATATGTTCCTTTTTGTGGAAACTACGACATCCAACAATTGAACGATTGAAGACTTGAAGTGTTGGCATTATAAAAGAAATGCCAAAAAAGAATCGTCGCAGAATATGGAACTAACGATATCCATATTCTGTGATATCGTGCTTGTTTTTGAAAAATTCTTTATAATTTACTATAGACACCAGGGGGAGGTCGAGAATATTATTTTTCTGCAAAGCGATCATTTCAGCGGAAATACGTCCTTTGGCCGCCATTTTTTTGGCATCCTCGCCCCAGTAAAGTTAGCCGCTCTAGTTATTATAGAACTCAATGGATTACACATCCCCGCAGGTTAGCACTATTTTCCACCCAGCAAACCGCCCTTTATTTGAAATATAATATTTTACACAATATAATATTTTACACAGTCTAATATTTTACACAATATAATATTTTATATAATATTTTACACAATCGTCGAAAAACGACATATTTTCCAGCCTGGATTATAAGTTTATAACTTAAGGTGGTTGCATGAAAATTTATACTGCAACATTTATCTGTAAATATTTTCATATGTTGATATTAAAAACTGTATTATAAAAATATAAAATTACTCGCCATCTCAAAACGACCTAGCACCAGTGCATGCATGGTTTCCTTTTAGCTTTTGGTTCTTTCCCATTAGCCGCCATCTTTAATTTATTAACGATTGTGTAAAGTAAAGGGCGGTTTGCTGGGTGGAAAATAGTGCTAGCCATCCCCGCAAGCTCGCCATTTTGTTGTTTTGATCATTGTGCACCCGCAATTTCTGCTATATTTTCAGCAGTTTCACAAATAAAACAAGATGGCGACAGGTAAAACTTTAAACGAATATTATGAAACTTTGGAGTACTGAAACACCAAAGATTGCAATTTCAAGAAATGCAAACAACTTAAATCATATTCAGTCAGTAAAAATAAGTAGTTTTCTGTAATTTTTATGTAGTCATGAATTTCGGCATTTAGAAATCATTTTTTCGCACATTTTCTTGATACAGAATACGGCCTAGTAGTAAAGAAATTTTGAAGCCATCTGAACCAGTGATATGTATATTAGACTGGATAACGCGTCTCTAGCGAAAATTGAAGCCGGAAAATGGATCATTTGCTATTGTCTTCATGGGGGGTTCGGTCAAACTTTGCAATACTGTTGTATTATCAAATCACAGTTTTCGCATTTTTATTCTTTTTACAAATTTCTGGTTACGGCAAAATTTTAATGACATGTAGAGGAAGACGGTAGAGAGTTTTGGCCCTGAAGCTCTGTTTTTTTTGGCTTTGCAACGACGGAAAAATAAGATGGCAAGCTGTATTGAAATTTGAAAGTTGAAGGTGACGAGGACAATTTCAGCCGTGCGAGGCATTTTTAGAAGATGAATACTTAAATTACAAATTTACAACAAAGTAAGAGCAAAGGTATTCATATCTTCAACATATTCGTCGATATCGAAGTTGTTCACATATGAACTGGTTGAACACTTTGCTTCGCTTAGTAACAACAGAGGTACTTTAATTCGCATATTTTGATGATGTACATCTCGTAGAGTTTAATAATACCGTTTTCAACTTACTATTGTTCATCAAAGTGTCTTTCTGATTCCTTTTCTAGGTCGATTTGTTTCGTTTCTTCACTGATATAATAAAGACGTAATTTGAAATTATTATGATATTAGCGATGTGAATAACAAAGTGCTATTAAATAAGTAAATTTGTGGCAATCTTCCATAAACGTCATTGCAGATAAATTTTGGGAGCAGTAGTAGGATTCTGTAGTATTTCTACATTTTTTAAGAAGCAACAGCATTATGTAATCTCCAGTTTGTTTCAAAATAATGCAGGTCGACCTTGTACCATCTCAATTTTCTGCCATTATATAGCCAAGAAGACAAACTTTTAAGGATTAAATAGCTTTGCCGGTTGTTCTGTCCAGTGGATTGTTCTGTTCTGTTCAGTGATCTGAACCCACCAGGGGCGGATCTAGAGTATGTCAAATCCGTCGCGCGACTGATGTTTGAAATTCAAAAATTACCTATTCATATTACTTAAAAATCATTAATTATTCTTACTTTATTATCGAATTTACTTCGTGATAAAAATCCAGCTTTATTTATTATTGAAAACTAATGACTAAATCAATGAATATCTCCTTGGTAACCAGATCAGTTGAATTTTAATTGACCTGGAATAACCGACTGATAAGCGGGGTGGCTTGACTGGTTCGACGGATAAAGGAGTCTATGAGCGCCAAAACGCTTATTTTATTGGTCAATGGCCAGATCAGTGGACAGTCTGGAATGGTCTCGACCGATAATAAGGGTGGCCGGACGTATAAGGGAGTCCAATTGCTATCTTACAATTGGTTCATTTGAATTTTTGTTTTATTGTGATTGGTTTGACGGATTTCGACTGATAGCCAACTGAACTAACATAGTCAAGCTCACTGTCTGAATTGAATGTTTGATCGTTTCATAGTAATTTTATAAGCATGATAGAAACTAAACTACAATCAGATGGAATTTATGGAAATCTTT